GCAGGGTGTGGGACCCCTTGCTGGGGGACCTTTATACACGTTCAGTCCTTGGCACAGCCTGGAGATTCTGGGTTTTTAGAACACAGTCCAGCAGTAGACAAGTTACTAAGGCTGAAGGCAAAACAACTTTACAGTTCTCTGTGAGAATCTCAACAACTTGGGTGTTCCCTTTTTGTTAAATCTAAATATTCGCCTTCAGGTAATGGCCATGTAGAAATCAATTAATTCATAACAGTGCTGAAGGAATCTACTCATTCAGCACATAAACAGCCCTCACTCCTGTGCAACTTCTCTGTGGCAGTGGGTGACCTGTGGGTTTTTAGCAAGGCTGCCAAGGAATCGTTTAAAAATTGCAACAGCTTTTCCTCCAGTTTGAGGTTGAGGTGAATCCCGGTCCCTGTGCCCACGTGGAGTGAGAGGAACCTTCCTACCTTTCTTCAGGTAAGAAAGGTCAAACTTCCCAGTGAGAAAACTGATGTGAGCTTTGAAACCAATGAATGTGGATTGTCATGAGGGTCACAGACACTCAGAGGAGGCCACGGAGCTGCTCCAAGGGCTGGAGCCCCTCAGCTCTGGAGCCAGGCTGGGAGAGCTGAGGGTGTTCAGCTGGAGAAGAGAAGGCTCCAGAGAAACCTTAGAGCCCCTTCCAGGGCCTAAAGGGGTTCCAAGAGAGCTGGAGAGGGACTTTGGATAAGGGATGAAGGGACAGAACAAGGGGGAACGGCTTCCCACTGCCAGAGGGCAGGGTTAGATGGGACATTGGGAAGGAATTGTTGGCTGTGAGGGTGGTGAGGCCCTGGCCCAGGTTGGCCAGAGCAGCTGTGGCTGCCCCATCCCTGGAATTGTTCAAGGGCAGGCCAGACAGGGCTTGGAGCAACCTGGGCTAGTGGAAGGTGTCCCTGCCCATGGCAGGGGGTGGAACCAGATGAGCTTCAAGGTCCCTTCCAACCCAAACCATTCTGGGATTCTCTGACAGAAAACAGGCCGTGGAAGGATCCAGCTGAAAATCAGGTGATTCCTTGCTCCCTGCCTCATTGCAAGGTGTTAGAGCCACTTTGACAGCCTCAGCCCCATCTGGCTCACATATAACAATATTCTTTGACATTTTATTTTGGGAACGTCAGCAGGGGAGAGACAATTTAAACCCCTCCTATTTGCAGCGGGGGCAGAATCCTGTGGAAAATCATTCACACACTCAAGCTACACCGCAAGTTCCCTTCCTAAAGGATTTGCTCTCTCACTAGAGGGAAAATGGAAGTCACTGGTGATCAGCAGGGAAGAACCACGCTTCCCCAGGCCTGTGCTGGGTGCAGCCCCACCTGTGCCGCAGGGTGCTCCGAGGCCGTCCGTGCGATGTCCCGGAACGCCGCGGCGTCGCTGAAGAACCGCTCGGCGGCCGCCCCTCGCTCCATGAAGTGGGTGAAGGCCTCCCCCAGGTCCTGCCTGGAGCTCAGCACCGCGTGGTTCTTCCCATCCCTCGGTTCCAGACCCAGCGCCTCCAGCAGCTTCACGCCGGACAGGACCACGTCCACACAGGCGTTGACGCTGGAAGAGACAAGGGAAAGGCGTCCTGGGAAAACCACACGGATCCGAGGGAACTGAGATTAGCTCAGCTGGTCAGAGCATGGTGGTGATAATGCCAAGGTCACGGGTTTGATCCCTGCGGAGACCATTCACTTAAGAGTTGGACTCGGTGATCCCTGTGGGTCCCTTCCAACTGGGAATACTCTGACTCTGTCTTGAACCTGTGAGACAACACAGTGAGATCACGCCCCAGGTAGTGATGGCTGTTCAGGGGGAGAACAACCAACCAAATGGAAAAAAAACCCTCACAAAGGCCCTGGAATTCCCTGAAATTCTCTCCTAAAGCCTTCTCCCTTTGACTTGCCTTTATTGTACTGCAGAGGAGAGGGGGATTTCTACCTTTCTGCTGGATTAAAACAAGGAAGAGTGAGCTGTGTGGTCCTAAGGTGGTTGAGTATGTTACAATACAGGTTTGCTTCATTTGCTGCCTTAGACTCACTCAAAAAAAGAACAGGCACAATAATCAAATAATTAATTTTTAATTCTTAGAAGCTTTTAAAAGTATATATCTTTGGGGTTTAAAATGTGCATGCAATTCGAAACTGTTAAAAACAAAGCAGAAAGTATTTAAGCCTGCTAGATCAGCCTCTTGAGTTTCAGCTGCTCCTAATAATACTCAAACCCACACACCAACTCCCCACACAGGCTGGTTCTGTTTATAAGAAGTCAAGAGAGCGATTTGTCAGTTGAAATATTTGAAAACTGCAATTTCTAAAGGACGATCCCTAACTTCCAGAAATAGCATGCAGTGAAAGCAGGAGAAAAGCCCTGCAATAGTTAGGGAGGGATAAAAACCATTTCAGCAGGTCCAGGCTTTATGGAAAACCTAACTTCCAGTCCCTATTTCCTTATCAATTACATCAATTTAATCACAGCCTAGTTCAAACTAGAGAACAGGAAAGTTCTGCCTGGAACCAGACCTCCAGGAAGACAATTTGTGAACACTTGCCCTTGTTTCACCCTGTGGTTTCAGAGAGATACCAACACATACCAAATATTTCCTGAGATGATACCAGCAATTATTTAAGCATCTTGTGGACCTGCTGTCAAGTGCCATTTCTATTCCTCTGTCCCACACTCCCCTGACAGGGATCCAAACCATCTACAAAACTTTTGCAGGATCTCTGGCTTTCTCAGCGTCTCCCACCACGCTCCCAAGGCCAGTTCCTGCTCCATGTCAGTGTGGAGTGCCCAGCATCCAGCATTCCTCCTTGGCAGGGACCTCCCAAGGGCCACAACACGTGAAAGCTGCATCACACAAAATAAAGGACACGAAAAGCCCTGAGGCTTTCCAATCCACGAGGTAACCAGCCCAGAAATCCTCTGGATGTGCATCATCTCCTGCAGAGGAGAGAGAAATACCCTGGCACAGCAGGGAAAAGAAATGATAAGCTCAAGCAGCCTTTTAGCCCCAATTTTATGTTTTAATGAATCGTTAAAGATCCAAGGGGATGAAACCAAGTCACATTCCTCTGCCAGCACACAGCTCCACAGCCATGGGGGTGGAGAACTCCTTCCAACACCTGAAGGCCAAATCTTCCAGTCAAAGTCAAGTTATCCTGCCAGTCTTTATATTTAAAAGGAAGTGAGTGAGGTGCTCTATATAATGTCCAGATTAATGGTCAGTCTTAAAAACAGCATTTGAGGTCAATGTGATATTCCTGAATTTTCCCCTTGTTTTCTTTCCACTTTAAAAAGAACATTGGATTTCCCTGGGCATGCACAGGTGCCTTCAACATCCACTGCCTTCTCCTCTCTCTGCTCCCTTCTCCACTTTATAAACTTGTCTCTGGTACTTATTTATTGCCAGCCTGAACTGGACGGGCCAGGAGCTCCAAGTCCCTCAGACTCTGGATGTAAAGTTGTTTTACAGGGGACAAGGTCTCTGGAGACAGGCTGCCAACGGGGCCTGAACCCCACAGCACCCTGAAACCACCAGCACAGGAGTGTTCTGGGTCATTCCTCCCCTCAGTTGGGCTCCGATGGAGCAGTGGGGAGGAGCTGCACTCTTGAGGAAATCATGGAATGGTTTGGACTGGAAGGTGTCCTTGAAGATCATCTGGTTCCACCCCCTGCCATGGGCAGGGACACCTTCCATTAGCCCAGGTTGCTCCAAGACCCATCCAACCTGACCTTCAACACTTCCAGGGATGGGGCAGCCACAGCTGCTCTGGGCCAGGGCCTCTCCACCCTCACAGACAACAATTCCTTCCCAATGTCCCATCTAACCCTGCTCTCTGGCAGTTTGAAGCCATTCCCCCTTGTTCTGTCCCTCCAGGCCCTTGTCCAAGGTCCCTCTCCAGCTCTCCTGGAGCCCCTTCAGGCACTGGAAGGGGCTCTAAGGTTTCTCTGGAGCCTTCTCCTCTCCAGGTGAACACCCCCAGCTCTCCCAGCCTGGCTCCAGAGCAGAGGGGCTCCAGCCCTCAGATCATCTCTGTGGCTTCCTCTGGACTCGCTCCAGCAGCTCCACGTCCTTCTGCTGTTGGACCCCAGAGCTGGAGGCAGCTCTGCAGGGGGGGGTCTCACCTGAGTGGGGCAGATACACCCCAGGTACATCCCTACCCGTGCAGAGGCCCTGACACATCCATCCCCACACACAAATCCATCCCCGCACGCATCCATGTCCATCCACACACCGGGATCTGGGGATGCCCGTCCCGCCCCGCCGCCAGGGGGCGCTCCCCGCGCGCTCCCGCACCTACCCGACGGCGACGCGCGCCCAGCCGCGCGCGGGGCGGACAATGGCCGCCTGCCAGGCCGCCACCGTGCGCGCCTCCAGCGAGCGGGCGCGGCGCAGCGTCCCCAGCAGCGAGGCCGAGAGCTGCCGCAGGGCCGCGGGGGGCAGCTCGGGACCCAGCACGCACAGGTAGCCCAGCGCCAGGGCCAGTAGGCCCACGCACACCGAGCGCTGCCACATCGCCCCGCTCCGCTCCTCCTGCTCCCCCGCCGCGGCTGAGGCGGGGCCCCGCCGGCGGGGGCCTCCTTACGCCGCCTCCGGAGCGCCCCGCCCCCGCCGGCCGCCGGCTGGCGTAACCCGCTTCGGGAATCGCGGCGCGCCGCTCCGCCTGCGCCACCTGCGTACGGCCCCGCGGGGCGGCTGCGCAACCTGCGTAACCCCGTACGGGAATAGCGCTCCCGCCTGCGCCACCTGCGTACGGCCCCGCGAGGCGGCTGCGCAACCTGCGTAACCCCGTACGGGAATAGCGCTCCCGCCTGCGCCACCTGCGTACGGCCCCGCGGGGCGGCTGCGCAACTTGCGTAACCCTGTACGGGAATAGCGCTCCCGCCTACGCCACCTGCGTACGGCCCCGCGAGGCGGCTGCGCAACCTGCGTAACCCCGTACGGGAATAGCGCGGGCGGCGCGTCGTGAGGGGAAATGGCGGGGCTGAGGCTCCCTCACGGCACCGCCGAGGCGGGGCCGCCGGACCGGGCCCCCGGGCCCTCCGGCAGCGGGGAACCGGGGCGAGGAGCCCGCGGTGAGTGCTGCCACGGTGTCAGGTCCCTCAGCAGCGCTGAGCTGAAGCGTGGCTGGGCATCGTACCTGCGTCTTCCTCTGTACCTGGTGCCACCTCCCCTGCCCTGGGTTCCTCTTCACGGCGCTCCTTTTCTCAGTTCCTTGTTTCCCAACACGCGTGTGGGTCTGTGTTGAATTTCCACGCTGCCCAAGCAGCGCAGTGCCTGTGGCTGTGGTCCCCCAGCTCCTCTGCCTCGCACCAAAGGCTCTCTAATGGCTTGTGTCCAGCAAACCAAACGCTGACTGAAGCTGAGCACCAACCCTAGCGTTATATTCTTTTTTGTAACATCTGGTTTCATTCTCTTGCGTGCCTTCTCCAGGGTGAGTTGCCCTCCTCAGACCTGCCCCCAGCCCGTGCTGGGAGCAGGGGCTGTGAGCGCCCTTTGCTGCCTGGTCCATCCAGCACAGAGGTGCTGTAGTGAGGAAAAAGGGAGGTTTCCCTTTTCAGTGAAAGGGAGTTTTTCTGGCCTTCTTTAGAAATCCCAGGAACATTCGCTCGGAGACTTACGACAGAATTTGCAAGAGTTTGACAACTCTGTGCCACAGTGCGTTGGCTGAGGCAGCCGATAATTTTCTTATTCAGTTCTGTGTTGTGAGTGATTGTCATCTCCTCAGAGTCTGACAAAGCAAACAGTAAAGGAGATGGGATAGCAGAATGCTTTTTTTTGTTGTTGATTTTTTTCCCACTATTTAGGGTGCAAGGATTGGTGTTCAGCCAGCAGCCGTTATGAATTCATGACTGGCCCTCTGGGCTCATTTGGCTACCCAACAGGTTCCATTTCTTACTGGTCATTGCCATAAAGGACTTCCTCATTTATTTATTTATTCTGTTCCTCTGAAGTTGCTCCTCAGAGCACCAAGGAGGCAGAGTTGTCAGGACAGGGGGATGATGGGGACTAGAGTTGCTGGGGGAGGAGAGAGTGAGACCTGGTAGTGGATGGTGAACAGTGATCTTGGGCACTGACTGGGTTATAAGCCTAAAGTGTTATAATGTAATAATCTTTAAGAACAGAATGCTGAAAAAAACACTAAAGGCTCTTCAGCTTTCTCTGTTCTTCAAGGAATTCTTCAAACAGTTCTTTATCCTTAAATAACTTCCTGGTGAAGTGCCTCACGACAGAGTGATCATCTTCTCCTCTCAGACCATGTTCAGCCCTCCAGAGCTGCTCTGCTAATATGTAAACCCCCCTTTTCCTTTGCTCAGGTGGTCTTTGGGTTTTGTCAGTAGCTTTTTCATTTGAACAAATTTAATTGTTTCCCCTTCAGTGCTTTTCTGGCTGATGTTTGATCTCTGTGATTACGAAACCTCACTGGTTCCACACTCCCCAGGGCACAGGCCTGCGAGGCTCTTGCTGTTACGAACAGCCCTCCAGTCCAGGCAGGCAGTGTGAGAACAGAGCAAACACCTGCCCCAAAACCCTGCTGCAATCAGGGCTTCACCTGTGGGACTGTGGGTATTTATAGCCTTGTCACAGAACATCATAATTAGACGTACCTGGGGGCAGCTGCGACCTAGAGCGTTGGCACCGCTCGGGGACCCCGTTATTAGTCCTGTGTCAGCAGAGGGTTTGGCAGCACACAATCTGACACAGCAACACTTTGGGGAATTCAGCCATGCGTCCATTTTGGGGTGATTAGTTTGTCACCTGATGCTAATGCAGTTGCTGCCCTGAAGACTAAAGTTGTCTTTTTTTACAACAGGTTCAGTTTCCGCATCAACAAAATTGAAGCTGCTCAGGAGGAGCCGCCTCTGTTTGGTCTCCATAAACTGCTGGAGTTCAACCTCCATGAACAGTTCTGCAGTGGACTCGAATGAGGCTGTAAAGGTAATTGAAAGATTCATTTTACAATCTGCCAGCAAAAATAAAAGGTTTCGAAAAAGACAGGTTCCCTCAGAGAACATGTTCAGCTAAAGAGCTAAACAGCCATTTCTTGGTTGACGTTTATTTTTAAGCCAATGGAGATCTAGATTTGCCTCAAACAGCCAAATTAGAGGTGAAACTGTCAACTGAGAACTGAACTCAGGCTCCTTATTTCCCTCCCTTGAGTCACCTGGTGCCCAATGAATTTTAGTTAGAGGTAATGGAGAGGGACACAGGGCTCTTGAATTCATAGGAGTTGACTCAGGCTGAATAAAAGGTATTAATTAAATACCTGTTTAATTATGGAAATAGCAAGCTGGTTCCTTCTGGGTCATTTCAAAGATGTGACACACTGATTCCAAGAGTTTTCACAGGAGTACTTTTATTAAAAGCATGGGAAGGGAAAGGTAAGAGTTGTGGGATTTTTAGAATGGAAAGAGTTAAAACTCAATGTCAACAGTTTCCGCTTGTTTCTTTTTCCTGGTTTTATGAAGTCCTTTGTATAGGAGATCTTTTTCTTGACGCTGTTTCATGCTTTGAGCTGCTTGTGACTGGGAGGTGGTAGGGGGACAATGGTTTTAATCAGTCTTCAGTTACTGGAAATGGAACTTGTTCCCTTCAGCAAAAAAAGAAGAAAGGTGGAAAGACTTTTTCTGCAGGAAGCAGACAAAAGCTGTGTTTCCTTGCTTGTCTGAAGATTAGCTATGGAGGGTTGCACACATGGCACCTGCTCTCACAGCCACTCGGAGCTGACAGCCCTCTGTGTGTGAGCTTTTGACCTCACCGAGTTTGTGACCGCGGGCTTGGTTTGGAAAAATGGGGGCTTGCCAGACCCTCATTAGGCAGGAGGCAAGAGGAAAGGGACTGAGGGTGGGCGAGGGGAGGAAACAGCAGGGAGGGGTGAAAGCCAAAGCTTCCAATTCCCAAGGAGCTCTGAAGACCTGTTTTTCTTACTTTGAACTCACAAGCTTGAAGCAATTGCCTTTACTCCTTGTTAAGTTGAATTTACGTATGCAGATGAACCCGTTCCCTCTGACCTACTTTGGCCAGTTAAGCTCTAGGCCTGTGCACAATTCGGGATGGGGAGGAGCTTTTCCAAACCATGAATTCCTTTATTGTTGCTGGGACCGGTCATGCGTATCCATAGTGCCTGGCATGGAATCTTTAGCTGGAGCTGATAAACACTGGGCAGCACCCAGGGCAGGATTTGCATGGTCCTGTCCAGCACTCCCATCTTATCAGCCCTTCTGTCTGCCTTTCCCAGGAGTCCCGGAGTCAGTTATTCCGGTTCTGTGTGTCCAGCTCACTGATCTGTGTGTCATCACGCCTTCCCTGCTATCAGACTGCTCCCTGAAATCCCTGCCTTTGATCACAGGCCTCATTTAATCCCAGTTGGACACTCTTTACAGAATCGTATATCCATCCATGTCCATGGAATGGGTGTGTACCTGTCACATTTCATGGGAGCCAACAGGAGAACACATCGGGGTGAGTGCTCACTACTGGTGAGGCTTCACTGGGGGACTAGGAGGAAAAAGTGCAAGGTAGGCTTTCTGGATGGATGCAAAAGGCCTGGAAAATTCAGGAAGTTTGTGCTGAGCCATGCAGATGAGCAGAGGAACTCTAATTAAAATACAGACTCTGTGTTGTTCTCAGAAACTGGGCAACATTCCCCATTCGAGCTCTGCCAGCAGATCTCAATCCTGGACTTCAGCACCCACTGCTGCTCTGCTCCATGAGACACCCACTCAGCTTGGCCAGCACAGCTCAGTCTCGGTCTGTAACACCTCGTGCTGTTCCAATTCTGGGCCTTTTTGAGCAGAAAATGCCATCTCTCTACTAAATTGTGCCAAATTGCCTGGTTTTGGCTGCAGAACTCATTTTCACTTGTCACCTAACGGGATACCTGGAGACTTCCATCTTGTGCTGTCAGCAACAGAGGAAAAAGCATGTGAATGCCCAGCCCCCTGCTAAGCCCCTAATTATATAGTGATGTGTTAATAACAAACACTCTTTCATGTCTTGGCAGTTGCAGACCTCTCCTCGGTAGTGCAGCACTTCAGAAGTAGAATCACACGGGAAAGATGCAAATCCCAGTTTAAAATAATTGGTATCAGCATGGTCTGTTCCCAGAATGAGGGTTGGGAAGAGTCTGAAGCTGTCAGATGCCAGTTGTGTGGATGTTCTGCAGAATCTGAGCCATGTTGGACAGATTTGCTTTGCAGAAGTGAGTGTTGCTGCACGGGAAATCTCTTTCCCTCTCTCCCTGGTTATGAATCTTCCTTCCTCAGAGGCCTTGCCCCCTCCCAGTTTTTGAGAGCTCAGCAGTGAGGGTTGGAATGGTTTCCATCTTGGCTGAGACCCCGGGGCTGGAGCTGGCAACATCCACATCCAAATTGATGTGTTTCTTTCAGTTGGAGCCAAATTGCTGGGATTTGCAGTGCTGGTGGCTCACACCCCGTGGTGATCAGCCTGGCTTCCAGAAAATACACGGGAACTGGAGCGGGCGTGACCCCCCACCTGTGCCGGGGAACACCTGAGCAATTAGAGGTGGTGGCACTGAGTGCTGAGCTCCGGAGCAGTCGCCTTGCTTCTGGAGCAAATGGTTCAGATCGATAGAGATGGAACAACTAAAAACCTTGTGGGGAGGAGACAGGTCAGGAAATTATGCTCAGGAAGTGAGAAAACCTTGGTCTGAAGGTGTTGTGATTGCAGTTCCATTCTGGCCCCCGTGAGACTCCAACTGTCAGGTGCTGAGAGCTGCAGAACAACAGGGCAGCTAAACCCCTGTTTATCTGTCAGGTATGGCCCTGTCAACAGTCATGTGAGTGATTAGGTGTGTTACAGGTGTGTTGTGCTGCTCAGAAAAAAGAATGGGTATCTATGAGCAGAGCAATGCTTTCAGTGTTTTCATGTATTCTCAACTTGGCAAGAGAGAAGATGACTGACAGATGCTCAGTCTTATCTTTGGGAAGGAACTCTGAAACCAAAACTCTCAAGTTATTCTTTAGTCCTCTAAATCATTCCAATTTGCATTCCCATTGCTGAGCGTTAGGCAGATTGTATCTCTTCATACACACTTTGGATTCTGCATTATAGATGTTGTAATTTATATTCACACCATTGCAGCACTAACAGCAGTGCTGGTGTCGTTGGTTGTGAACGTGCCTTGAAATGTTTGGTTTCTGTTGAGCGTGACCTCGCTCCTGTGGTACAGAGGGTGTTGCTAAAGCCTCACCATGTACCTCTAACTCACAAACCCCACCAGCAAAATTACATGCCAGAAGTGCAACCCTGAGTTCTGTTACCACTCCAGAAAACTCCTGAAAGCTAGATGTCTGAGAAGCCTTTGATTTACAGCCCTTCAGGCTGTGGTTGAAGCCCTTGCTGTGGCAGAGGACTGTGGCAGAAGGATTTAGGCAGGCCTGGGGAGCCCAGAATAGAGAAGCCGAAGTGTTGGCTGTGCTGTAGGTCTGTCTCCTTGCAGTGCTGGGGGGGACTGCTGAGAGTACTTTGCAGGGGACTGGAGAGCCTCAAGTCAGATTTCTGTGAGCAGGAGGGAGGCAAAAGGCTTTATCTGTTTGACCAGCAAAAATACACTCGTGCTGTCAGCGTTGTATGGAAACAGCCTGTTTGTGTTTCCCGTTCAGTGAGGGTCACATGCCCGTCTGGAACAGCCAGGGTGGGGCTCGGGCACAGGCTTTGTCTCTGTGGGGAGCAGGTCTTGTGCTCAGCTGCCATCCTGCCATTGCAGTCACACAGAGCTGTGGAGGATGGCCCAGGGTGGGGACAGCAGGAGGTGATGGTGACATCAGGTCCACACTGCTCACCCTGGTAGGTCCTGCCTTACAGGAAGTCAGACACTGCACAGCAGCCCCAGGGCCTCCCCTGCTCCACCCTCCTGAGCCCTGCCTGTTCCTCAGCACCTGCCAGCCAGGTGAGCCCAGACTGTGCTCCAGCTGCAGGAACTCCAGGCTGTGGCAGTCTGGACTGTTCTGCTCTCCCAGGGGTGGCTGATCTGCTGACTGATAGGATGTGCCTTATGCAATATTGTGAGCTGAGCATATTTTAATATGCTAACTGAACCCTGAATCAGATTTTGCAATGAGAGTGTGTATTGGTCTTCAGAGAGGCAGTTGCTTCAGAATTTCACCTCTGGGACTGCCAAACCTATTTGTGTGTTTCATAGTTCACTCTGTAAAGCACTCACATACATCCCTGTGTTGTGTGTTAACAGGCACAGCTCATAAATAGTGGTGCCTGGCAAAGCTGTCAGCTCTAGATCTGTCCACAGAGGTCTGAGCCACAGAATTTGCTGTGACAGAGTCGTCTCTGGTATTTTCCTTCTGTGTGAGTGACAGGAAGCACAGGACATGGAGTGTTTGGTGTAAAATGAAACCAGGGTTGGAATTGTGGCTGCACATGGAACCAGATTTGTTTGAGTTGGTAGAAGAGATCTCTAACCTCTTTCACAAAGAGACAATGATCAGAGAAGTAGAAGCATGGCTGAGAAAAGTGATGCACAGTCAGAACACCCAGAAAATATTTTATAAAATAAAGAGGAGGTGAAGAAGCAAGAGAGTGTTGAAACTGGTTGTATGAGGAAGGGCTTGAAAAAGATTTCAAAAAAAAAATCTTATAATCTGGAAATAAAACTATAAACACGAGAAACCACAGAAATCCAGAACACGACCTGTCCTTTTTAAGTATTATTTCAGGTCTGCTTTTGCTGTAGTGACTGCATAGATATTGCTGAGGCTTTGTGAGTGTGAAATTCCTTTTTCCTTTGTAGTTTTGTGGCACCTGTAAGTCTTGTGAGGATGTGTTGCCTCTAGGCTGGACAACGTGTATGATAAGAAAAGGTCACTAACCAAAAGAGATCAAAGTGAAAACCGGGTGGGTTCCCAGGGAAACTGCTGGGTGACCAACCAGCTCAGGCTCCAGAGACTTCCTTTTGCAAGTGT